TTGTCTTGAGTGATGGACTTTCTGGCAAAGATGTTAATCTGCAGCATGAAAGTCGGCCGACCACATTAGAAATCTGTGCCGTAGCGTGCTGTGGTGCGTTGAAAAACACTGAAGCTTTGTGGTTGTCCTTAACACCTGGCTTTCTGCTGCTGCGGCTTCTGAAACACCAAAGAGCCTGGGAAACCTGCTGGCTGTTTCTCAGGGTCGCGTTGCTGTTGAGCAACGGCCAAGAGGCTCCAGGGTAGGTTTTCAGGTGTGTTCCTCTGGGCAGATGGCACAGCATCCCCGTGCAGACCGATGTCCCATCCACCTCGTTCTTTACCTGCACAGGCCAGCAGGGACTCTTGGTCAGAAGGGCTCCAAGGTGTTGGAGTTTCATCAGCCTGCACTGACCAAACTTGTCAAGAACATGTGATTTTGGGGAGGCCATGCGATGGGCGAGGTGGAGACTTTCTTCTCTGAATTTGCTTGGCAGTGCCTGCGAACTTTCCATCCAAACCTCTCAGGGAGGTGGTAGGTTGTGACTGTCGGACATTTTTGCACCAAGTTGTCCTCTCTTTGATTTTGGACAGCTTGGACAAAACAATGCTGTCCTCCAAAATGAACACCTAGATGAAGCAATGATGTTTGCTCTCTGTAACACTGATGAGAATATTCCTTGACAAGATCCACCAATTAAGCTCTGTCTTCTGCTAGGACTGTCTTTCCCAGAGGCACCACGGTGACTTTAGTGCAGATAAAAGAGACCCTCTCTCTGGAGCTGGGGTCTGCAGGCAGGAGCAACGCTGCACCAAAGTGAGAGGAACAGTTTTGGGACGGAGCTTGTTTGTGAGAGCCTCAGCCACCTTCTCTGAAAGGCGGGCTGCTGCCACCGCGTCCCGGGGTGGCAGGGGCCATCTCGAGGAAGCCACCCCCGGCTCCAGTGGCAGATGCCTTGGCTCTCCGATGGGCATTTGCAGAGGAGGCACAGGCAGCGTTTGCTGGAGCTGTGCCGCAGGACTCCCTCACGCATGGCTAATGTGCCCAGGGAGCCCAAATGGATGCGTGAGAGGAGGAAGAGGAGGAGGGCTGGCTTCAGCAAGCGCTGAGCCAGTGATGTCTCCTGGCCCTGGCAGGGGCACCGGCTCTGCCCAAGCTCAGCCGAGCCCCTGCTATGGCCCAGCCGGAGGGGGCCACGAGGATCCCAGCAGCTGCTTTTCCAGCTCCTATTTTGAAACCGGGCTGGAGAACAAACTCCAGCACAGAGCTTGGTCTCTCTCTCCCTGTTCTGTTTCATATGCTGGGAGATGATCGTGGTATTAAATTAATTTAATATGCAGTGTTTAGAATTCCCCTAAATAGAAGGGCTTGCTCAAATTTTAGGAGAGTGTTGGTATTTGTGAATTATCAGCAAGCAAAAATTCATGAGTACCAGTTTAGGCAATTGTTCCAACCTCTAAAAAAGTGGAAAGGAGAAAAAAATGGAGTGTGTATGTTTGCATGTGCTGAAGAGGAGTCTTTCTGCTGTTGTGGGTTTCCATTTTCCTTCCTCTTATGCTTCTTCTCCTTGGTCACTGGCTTCTGAGTATCTTCTTCAGGCATAGGGAATTCCTGATAGAACGAGGAGATTTCCCAGAATTGAATATATTTAATCTCAAAACCAAGGGAGAAGGAAGAACCAGATTGCTCAAAGTGCTGATGATACCTCCTCCGAGCACTCTCCCAAAAGGCAGCTGCGTTTAAAAGACCTATTTATTCTACAATGGGATCATCCTTTGGGAACATGCTATCCAGCTGTTTGGGGGCAGACTAGCACTGGGCACCATGCTCCCTGTGCTTCAGAGCTCCTTTTGCTGTGGTACAAAGACATTTGGCTGCTCACCACGATGGCTCTACATGGGTGCGGGGAGGAGGATTGCTCGGGTCCTCTGCCTGCAATCTCCCAGGCATGATGCTTGGCAGATCCTCACTTGGCTCGTGGTGCAACTTCCATTTTGGGGCCAAACTTGACACTTCTGTCTCCTAATGCTCCTTCTTTGACCTCTGTGGGTCTGCACTTGCTTTGCACGGGGTTGGAATTGGGCTCTGGATCTACTCTATCCGTTGGACTGCACGTAATGGTATCCTTAGGGCTTTCGAGTAGTTGGACAAAGAAGCCATTTCAAAACTGCTGCGAACTAGGCAGAATGCAGTGGTGAAGAGGAAGGATCTGAGATGGGTGGCTCTCTGGGCAGGGAATGCTCCGAGATGCTCAAAATGGCGTTTGCGGGATAATTTTTTCCCAGCCCTTTGTCTGTGGAGAATGGGGGCTGTGGAGGGAGGCACGCGCCCAGGGTAAATGCCTCCGCTCTATTGTTCCCATCATTTCCATTGAGCTTATGAACCCCCATATAGAAGACTTACCTTTCACTAGTATGATTAAGAAAAGGCCAATGTAGCTTTCCTGCTCGCTGGAGCGTGAAGCGTGTTTAATTTAATAATGCTGATAAATCTTAAAGCCAGGAGCATTTGGCTAACACATGACCCACTTTTTCAATCAATTGGAAACATTTACATAACGGCCTGATGCAGGGTTCCTCCTGTGAGGGATGTGGAGCAGGGGATGGCAGACAGCCCCACCACAAACGCTGCCCCTGTGGGGCACGTGGTGAAAGCAAAACGGCGAATTTGGCTGCCCTTTAGCAGGCACGTCGTCGCCCACCTTGTTGGGACTGCCAGCTCTGCCCCTGCTGCAAGGATGTGCCTGGCTTCAGAGCACCTCAGCCACCCACCTGGGCTTTTGAGTCCATCACCCTGGTGTGGCAAAACCCAGATGGCTCCAGGGTCCCATCTTTGCCTGCCAGCTCCCAGCCATGGGGCTGGCACCCTGGGCTGTAGCTGCCTGGGCCACTGTGACTGGGCAGCTTGCAAAAGAAAGCCCTTGGGGTGATGCATAGTGCAGGATGGCTTCGTGACTACTGCCTCTGCAAGTCACAAATGCCCCTGCCGGTGGATACACCTTGGCTGCCAGCTGTGAGCAGCCTCTGCCTTTCTCTGGCTTTGTGGCCAGAGGATGCTCATCAAGCCAGGAAGGGGAGCTGCACCTCTGTGTTGGCATGCAGAAGCCTCATGGGTGGCTGCAGTGGTGTCATGGCTTTGTTTCTTTCCCTGTGGCAGGGCTAGACGGCTCCTGGGACAGGACATCCCTGGCAGTGGCAATGGGGCCAGCTCTTCGGTGCAGACCTTTTGTCTCCTGGCACATCAGGAGCACTAGCAGTGCTGACCTCCACAAATCAGCCCGTTCAACCTTTCTGTTATTGCCTTGGATGCATGGGAGTCAGCCTGGGGTTAACCAACACAGCCAAGTATTTGTTTTCCTTTATTGTTCACCTGCAGCAGGCTCAGTCTTGAAAGTTCCTGATCTCACACATTGTGCTATTGCCTCTCAGCCCGTTCCCATTACTCTGGTCCCCAACGTTGTCACCTTCTTCCTCGGAAGTACTCTTCTCCTCCTCACCCTTAACAGTACCTTTTCGCATGGCATTTTCAACACAATTCGTTTCTTATTGTTCTTGTGAGGATTTCACTTTTTTTTTCATTTGTAACCTCCAGCAGCCTCAAGATCAGTGTTTGCAAATAGATTATAAGCAACTTCATTCCCAGTGAGCTGGTCTTCTGTTAGCTCTGTGGGAACACCATCTCCTTGCTAACCACGTGGGTTTTATCCATTCTGGGTTTCGTAATAACCTCTTGGAAGAGGTTTTACATCCAACCCATCTCCCAGCCATAATTTGTGCATTGCTGCATGTTTATTCATCCTGACTGCCTCTTTGTGTTAAAGTAATATCTGAGAATTGGTTTACCTCCCTTTTTCTGGTCACATAAGTCCCTGTCTGAGCAAAGGAAAATACCAGATGCTTGTGACCAGGATGAAAAATCTCCCATCTTATATGTACTGAGGGATTAAACAACATGGGGGAGAATTGCTACAAATCTCTTGGCATTGCACGTAGAAGGATGCCGGAACCTCCCTCTGAGGCAGGACCTGTCTCCCCATGCAGTAGGCTGCAGAGACATTGCATATGCCGGGTCCTTGCACAACGATCCTGCTAGGAAGGTGTCGGGAAAGAAAAAGGAAGAGGTTTTATTGCTGCTCTATGATTTATTTTTTTGTCCCTTGACTTCAAAACATCTGTGGCGTTTTTCCCTCTAGAGGGCGGAGGAGGAAAGAGAAAGAACGGGAAGAGAAGGGAACACGGGTAAAACTTGGAGAGGTTTCATGAGATACATGCAAAGCATGAATGGCTGGAAGTGACATGGTCTGGAGACGCAGTGCTCAGCCAGGGTGCTCACAGTGCGGGGTGGAAACGCAGACGTGTAGCACTTGGGACACTACCCTCCCTGTTCTGTGCTCCTGGGGTCACATAGGTATTTCCTTGTCACTGAAGAACTGGCTTTTGATTTTCTGAGTGCCCATTAACACTTGAAATGGCGAAGTTTGGTTTGCTGGATAGGTACCCTGGGTCTTTTAAAGCCCCAGGTCAGCCGTGGGTCTTTGGCCAGGCTGCTCCTGCATCATGTGGTTAGCTGGGCACAACTGCTTTTTAGCTCAGGCAGATGTGGGCCAGCTCTCTGCCTATGCTGCCTCGGATACTTGAGTCTTTGCTCCTGCAATGGCTTTTGCATCAAGCTGGTGCAAAGCCACGGTGAAGCTACAAACTCTTCCAACTTGCACCCAGCATGGTCCTTTTGGCAAGCAGCCAGCCTGACCTGCACCCACGAAAGGTGC